TTCTACTTCTAATCCATTTTGGTCAAAGAAGATGACCCAACATCTGGTCAATCCTAGAGAATGTTCCATGTGCACTTGTGAGGAATGTGTTTTCAAGCAGTTCCCTTTTAAAAGCAAAATCTGTTGCACACATTGTCATCACTCACAGTTCACTGGCCAGTATGTAGATACATAGCCTATACCTAGGTGAAAGGGAGGCTGGAAATGTAATATCCAGCAGGGGAGCCATGTATTTAGTTAAAACTTGGGGTGGAGGATAGTAATACTGAAAGGAAAAAGAGTAGAATGGATATTGGAGGACAAGTAGTCTGTCACAGGTGGAAATATATTATATTTGTGGTAATTTACTTTGAAACTTGAATATGAATTATAATCTGAATCAATACTTTGGGGTTAGCTGATGAGCATAAGGATTATTAGAAATAATTTTGATTGCATGGGGTGGTGTAACAGGACCCATTGCCCTTGCATTAATAAGATATAAGAAAACAGCAAACCCAACCACCAAACCCAACAATCTTTGCTAATCCTGGAACCCCTTAGGAGTAGAACACATCAGCTGTGTATTTTTCCACTTTATGGGAGATCCTGTTTTTTCATCCAGTTGAAAAGACTGTAGCATCCATTTCTGAGTGATCCGTTCTTGAGATGCTGGGCCTTGTAGCTGGAGGCAGAGAGAAGGATCTTACCAAAGCTGTAGGTTGCATGATGATATTTGTGCCAACTTGCTAAAAAATACATTTGTTAGCAGGTTTCAGAACATTGGTAAGATGACACCTGGTAGGAAGATTGCTGGAGTGGGATTAGGTCAGCCCTACCTTTCTCTCATCACCAGAAGCTAGTATTCATCAAAACAAAAACAAAAACAAAAAAATCCTGATATTCAGTGAATGGTATTGGCTTTGGCAGGTTTGCTTCAGACCAGGGTATGCATGGAGAGCACTGGCAGCTAGGACTTTCTGCCTCTTCTCTCTCCTTCTCTCATCATGTATACTTAATTTATTGCTTTCTTTGTGTAGAAGGCACATGACTGATGGCATCTGTACCTCACAGCTTCAAGAGCAGATTGAAAAGAGCTCTTCCCTCAGCCTCAGTAGAAAAACTCCCTGTGAAAGGACTCTGTCCTGCCTTGCGGTGTAGTGTGTCCTGTGTTTGGCCAGATAACCATCCTTTCAGCACTCACTGTGCCTGGGGAACTTAGTCACACCAGGTTCCCTTTAGCCCCACATTAGAGCTGAGTGGGGAGAGAATGAGGGAGAGGGGCCTGTGTGATTGTGGAGGAGGAGGAGGATTCGAGGCTAGCAGAGTACAGATATGGTCTGCGAGAATGATTTGTAGGGCGGCCAGTCCAAATTGTGCCTGCTGTGCCAAACTCTGCTACATTTTACATGTGTAACATTGGGTAGTTTACTTGACCTCCCTGGTGTCACTTTCATTTATAATATGTGAATAATTCTTTTTTTTTTTTGCAAGGAAGATCAGCCCTGAGCTAACATCCATGCCAATCCTCCTCTTTTTGCTGAGGAAGACTGGCCCTGGGCTAACATCTGTGCCCATCTTCCTCCACTTTATATGGAACACTGCCACAGCATGACTTGACAAGCGGTGCCTTGGTGTGTGCCCAGGATCCGAACCGGGGCTGCCAGCAGCGGAGTGTGCGCACTTAACCGCTACGCCACGGGGCTGGCCCCTATGTGAATAATTCTTAGCATGCAAGGTCTTGTGAGGTTTACTGTATGTAAAGTGCCTGTCACATAGAGGGCATCAATAAGTGCGAAGCTGCTGCTGCTGTTGCTATTATTAATGTTGCCATCATCCTGCCAGCATCCTTTTTCCCCAGGTTCTCACATTTAACAGTGTTATTTTTCCTTCTTCTTCTTTTTTTTTTTTTTTGTGAGGAGATCAGCCCTGTGCTAACATCTGCCAATCCTCCTCTTTTTTTTTTTTTGCTGAGGAAGACTGGCCCTGGGCTAACATCCATGCCCATCTTCCTCCACTTTATATGGGATGCCACCAACAGCATGGCTTGCCAAGCGATGCGTCGGTGCGCGCTATGGCTCCGAACCGGCGAACCCTGGGCCGCCGCAGGGAGCACGCACACTTAACCGCTTGCGCCACCGGGCGGCCCCTAATAGTGTTATTTTTCTAAAACACACCTTTGAGAATGTTATTACCCTCCTCATAAACCTTCAGTCGCTCTCCATTAACTGTTGAATAAAGTATGATTTTCTTAACTTCTCACTACTTTTTTCATACCCTTCATGATCTGGTCCCCATATCTCCTTTTCAGCCTCATCTCTCTCCGCCTTCCTCTCTGCACTCTGTGCTTGGGTCTATCAGCCTACTCTCCTATGAATACCTCATGTAAAGTTTCCATACCTGTGCTTTTGCTGATGTTATTCCCTTGGCTTGGAATGCCCTGTTTCCTACCTTCCCTCTCTTCTTATCAGAACCTTTTTTTTTTTTTTTTTTTTAAGTTTCAGATTGAAGTTTGGAATGTGGTCACTTCAATATTGCCTTCCCTGATCTTTTTCCATGGCAGGGAGCCTTCTGTAGTTCACAGCACTTTCTACGTGTATTCATGTAACTTATTTTTGCTCTGTATTACAACTATTTACATGCTAGTCTTTTTTTTTTTTTTACATTTTTATTTTTATTTATTTATTTATTTTTAATTCTTATTTATTTATTTATTTTTGTGAGGAAGATCCCTGAGCTAACATCTGCCAATCTTCCTCTTTTTGCTTGAGGAAGACCGGCTCTGGGCTAACTCCGTGCCCATCTTCCTCCACTTTGTATGGGACGCTGCCATAGCATGGCTTGACAAGCAGTGCGTCTCTGCATGCCCGGGGTCCGAACCGGCGAACCCCAGGCCGCTGCAGCAGAGCACGTGCACTTAACCACTTGTGCCACGGGGCTGGCCCCTTTTTGACATTTTTAAAGAGTCTAGGCCAGTTATTTTGTAGGATGTCCCATATTCTGGAGTTGTCTCATTGTTTCCTAGTTATATTTGTTTTAATTATTTTCATTTAGCTCTTTCAGTGTTTTCTAATTCATAATTCTAATAGTGGTACCACAATTGGGGCCTGTCTTGCCCTTTTTCTATTTACTATAGTCTTATTTTTAAAAGTGGAAGAGGATCAAAGATGAATATATTGGTTCTTACCTTGTTTGAGTTGCATTCTAGCTCTTACTGGGTATTTTCCAACCTAATTATTATTTTTGTGTATTGCCTTGACACTTTTGGAGGGAAGATAAGTATAGGGTATGGTTAAAAGGGCTATTAAATCCTTAGGGAATGTTTTGGTTAACTGTGTTTTTCCTAACTGTATTGTTAGTAAAGAACTCTTTTCGATCTTGCTTGGTATTGAGAAATTTTTAATAAAATGTATGAGTCCTTATATTTTAAGTAGAATCAAAAGAGGAGTCTTTTCAGTACTTCAGTAATCATTTCTGAACATGAATTTCAGTGGCTCAGTACTTTTTTTTTGAGTCAATTTTGATTTATCATTGTAATGTTACATTCATAAGTTTAGAATCAATGAAAACAATGACATGGGCTATGTTCATAGAATGTACTGCAGTGAATGAAAGAGACAAGGCAGATCTTTTTGTACAGACATGTAAATATCCCCAAGAAATATGAATTTATTTATTTTTTCCAGCTTTACTGAGATGTCATTGACATATAACATTGTGTAGGTTTAACGTATACAACGTGATGATTTGGTATACATATATATTGCAAAATGATTACTACAATAAGGTTACTTAACACATCCATCACCTTACATAGTTACCTTTTTTGTGGGTGTGTTGAGAACTTTTAAGATTTACTCTAAGCAACTTTCAAGTATACAATACAGTATTGTTAATATAGTTATCATGCTGTACACTAAATTTCATATAGTCATCCTATAACTAGAAGTTTGCCTATGGCTCAATACATGGGATGTAGGGCACCTATAGTTTAAAGTGGGACAATTTTCTTTAAAACATAACACCATGATATTGGTTTGTTTTACTTCTTTTTCACGTAGGGGAATACAGAAAAATACCAGTTGATGAAGTATTAAATATTTGAAAAACTGATTATTTGAGGTTTTATTTTATGTTATTATACATGACTAATTTAATCCTAGGAATATTTACTGAATGTCAACATAGGACTTATTGTGGAGAGCATAGCCTTTGCTTGGCTCAGTCTAGTAGGGGAGACATAAAAGGTAAGCAGCGTTTCATCAGTAAATAATTTTTGAGCACCTAATGTGTACCAGACACAGTTCTGAAGCATTAGATAAGTCAGATACAATTCCTACCCACTAAAGGAATGTGCAGTCTTGTTGGTGAGTCAGACAAGGAAACCAGCCATTATAGCACAGGGAGGTGCATGTCATGACAGAGGAACAAGCAGGAGACTCTGGGAGCCCAAGGATGGGAATCCAAATCAGACAGAGGTAAGGTGCTTGATCAGTGACAGTTAGCAAGGCAGAAAATCAAGGTCAAGGATATTCCAAGCTGAGGATTATTGAAAGAGAAATCTCAGAGGCAAAAAATGTGACCCATTTGGAGAATTGCAAAGAGATAAAGCTAAAGCAGTGTTTCTCAAATGTGGTCCTCTGTCTGCTTGAGTCAGAATCATCTGGGAGTGAGTCTTAAACCCATAGGTGATTCTTAGCCTTCCAGGTGATTCTCACACTCACTAAAATCTGAGAAACCCTGGGCTAGAGTTAAGGGGCATGAAAAAGGAATGAAAATTGTAATATAGTGTATAGTGTAACATATGCTACATTAAAGGTATGCATAATATTCTATGATTAGACTACAAAACATTTTCATTTTAAGCCTGCTAATTCATATCCTTAAATAACTTGGTGGGGGGAGGTGACTGGAGAAAAGGGAGGGACATTACTGTAAATTGTCTCTTTATCCCTAGGTGATTCTAAAAACAATCAGTCTGTTAATCTTTTATTCATTGAATGTTTTTGTTTTTCTTTTAGTCCAAGGACAAAATGATGAGAGGCTCTCGCAGAGGATGTGTTAGACTCAGAGTGAGTATTTATTCATTGTTATGAAAACCAGTTTTGACAGAATGAAAAAAAAATGTTTTGATGGAGTCATGGAAGTCTAAATTTAGTTTAGTTTCCTTACTTAATTGTTGGGACAGGCAGCTAAGGCTCAGAGAGAAAAATAATTTCTCCAGGGTAACTGCTAGTCAGTACCAGAACTAGAACTCAGTTCTTTTTTTTTTTTTAGCTTTTATTTATTTATTTTTCCCCCCAAAGCCCCAGTAGATAGTTGTATGTCACAGCTGCACATCCCTCTAGTTGCGGTATGTGGGACGTGGCCTCAGCATGGCTGGAGAAGCGGTACGTCGGTGCGCGCCCAGGATCCGAACCTGGGCCGCCAGCAGTGGAGCGCGCGCACTTAACCGCTAAGCCACGGGGCCGGCTCTCTTTTTTTTTTTCAATGTGTTTTTTTTAATCAAGCTTTTCTTTTCTTTTCTTTCTTTCTTTCTTTATTTTTTCCCCCAAAGCCCCAGTAGATAGTTGTATGTCATAGTAGCACATCCTTCTAGTTGCTGTATGTGGGACGCGGCCTCAGCGTGGCCGGAGAAGCGGTGCGTCGGTGCATGCCCGGGATCCGAACCCCGGCCGCCAGCAGCGGAGCGCGCGCACTTAACCACTAAGCCATGGCGCTGGCCCCTAGAACTCAGTTTTTTTGGCCCGTGATTTGATATTGTATCCATGACTTAATGCAGCTACTGATTTTTTTTTTAACCTCTATTTTACCGCCAGGGACAGGGGCTGGAAACTAAATGAGTTGTAGTGTTGGTGGTAGAGTAAACAATAGGAAAAAAAACTGAAAAATCTCCACTTTTAGCTGCTTTTTTTCTTCCTGTTCAACACTATTTAATAATGGTCTGTGTAGCAGTGATGTCCAGTAGAAATATAATATGGGCTACATATATAATTTAAAATTTTGTAGTAATCACATTTAAAAAGTAAAAACAAACAGATGAAATTAATTTTAATACATGTTTTCTTTAGGCCAGTATATCCAGACTGTTATTATTTCAATATGTAATCAATAAAAAATTATTAATGGGATATTTTACTTTTTTTGTTCATACTAAGTCTTCAAAATCCATTGTGTCTTTTGCACTATTGCACATCTCAGTTCAGACTAGCTGCACCTGCACCTCAGGTGTCCATTAGCCACATGTGGCTAGTGGCTACCTTATTGGATAATGGAGGCCTATAGCTTCATGCTGCTTTTAATTTCTTGTTCAGTTTCCACCATTGGCCAAATAGCTAAAGGCAAGAAAGAATGCAGGAGGGCCGCAACCCACGTACAGCAACTAGAGGCATGTGCAGCTGTGACATACAACTATCTACTGGGGCTTTGGGGGAAAAATAAATAAATAAATAAAATTAAAAAAAAAAAAAAAAGAAAGAATGCAGGATTGGGGACGCAGTTTCTAGTACTCGATTGTATCTAAGGAAGGGCCTACCTCTATCATAACTAGGTAAGTCAGCTTCTAGTAGCCTTTTCTTCTTCAGGCTCCTGTTGCTTTCTTTCTGCCATCTTTTTTCTGCAGCCTTACTTTTCTTTTTTTTTTCCTTTTAAAATAAATTTTATTGAGGTATATTTTACAAACAATCAGATATATCCATTTCAAATATACAGCTTGGTGAGATTTGACAAATGTGTACACTCATGTAACTACCACCACATCAAGATACAGGACATTTCCATCACCCGTCACCATCCCTTGTGCCCTTTACTGCATCCTTACTTTTGAAGATGTGAATGTATTTGGTAAACATATTATTGCCTTTATTAGCAGTAGCTAATTGGTAGAAATGGGAGTTAACTCTAAGAGAGAAATCAAATTCTAATGGAAAAATTCTGATGCTGAGATAGGAGTAAATATGGTGAATTTGCAGGATGGAAATGAGGTCTGTTTTCAACAGATGATGTATATGTGATAGCATAAAGATTTTTAGAATTTCAACTTATTATATTGTTTACTGTTTTTTTCTTTCCTCTGGTTTCTCTTTTACCTTCGTGGTTTAATTGCTTTTCTAAGCACTTGCTATTGACCTCAGTCACCACTCAGTCTGATATTAACTGCTTTCTTGGCTTGAGATAAACTCAGTAGTGAGACTTTAGCAGAGCTGCATTGAGACAGCTCTTCAGTTGAATTCAGTCTGGATGTGGACCACTGTCTCTTACATTTAATGCACTATTTTTTTCTCTTAAAAAAAGCTTAATTAATTATTAACCCTTGTGACTACCACCCAGGTTAAGAAATAGAATTTTGCCAGCTACCCGTAAATCCTCTCTGTGTACTCCATTCAAATTACAGGCCCCTCCCTGTTTCCTAAAGTAACCACTATTCTATTATAGTAATCACTTCTTGGATTTGCATTCCTAAATTCTATATTTTTACATTGCCCGTTTAAAAAATTTTGATATCTTTTGTTTGCAATTTATCTATTGAAGAATCTAGACCTTTTGACCCGTAGGAGTTTTCCATAGTGTAGATTTTACTGATTGCATACTGGTGCAATTTAGCATGTTCCTCTGTCTCTGCTTTTTCTGCAAATTGGCAGCTGGATTCAGAGACTGGATCAGACTCAGGTTTGATCCCTTTGGCAAGACTATTGGTGGTGGTGTGTTCTTCTATCAAGAGCACATAATGTCTGGTTTTTGTTCTTTATTCGTATTAGCAGCTATTGATGCTCAGTTACCTAGATCCATTAACTCATTTGGGGGTTGCAAAATTATGTTATTTTATCATGTTGTTTAAATTTTTATCAGAAATAATCATATAAGGAAACACTTTTCTTCATCTATTATTTGGTTACTCAATGGTACAATTCAAATAGAGAGGATAAATGCTTGATTATTTCCTTTTACTTACCCAATTTTCAAGATAATGAATTGACTTAAAACAACAGTCGTTCATATATATATCCAAAGGAATTGAAAGCAGAGACTCTAACAGATATTTGTATACCCATGTTCTTATAAGCTTTACTCACAATAGCCTAGAGATGGAAGCAACCGGTTGTCCATCCGGTAGATGAATGGATAAACAAAGTGTGGTATATACATACAATGGAATATTATAGTCTTTAAAAAGGAAGGAAATTCTGACACATGCTACAAGAACCTTAAGGACATTATACTAAGTGAAATAAGCCAGTCACAAAAAAGACAAATACTGTATAGTTCTAATTATATGAGGTATCTAGAGTAGTCAAATTCATGGAGACAGAAAGTAGAATAGTGGTTTCCAGGGGTTGGGAGGAAGGGGGAGTTCCTTGTGTAAATGGATACAGAGTTTCAGTTTGGGAAGGTGAAAAAGTTCTGGAGATGAATAGTGGTAATGGTTGCACAACACTGTGAATGTACTTAATGCTACTAAACTGAACACTTAAAAATGTTTAAATGGTAAATTTTATGTTATGTGTATTTTACCACAATTTAAAAACTCCCACCCATTTATTATCTCACAGTTCTGCAGATCAGACATCTCAGAAGGGTTCTCTGCTTAGAGTCTCACAAGGCTGAAATGAAGGTATTCACCAGGTTGGGCTCTTATCCGGAGGCTCCGAGGAAGAATTTAAGGGAGAATCTGCTTCCAAGCTCATTCGGTTGTTGGCAGAATTCAGCTCCTTGTGGTTGTAGGACTGAGGTCCTCATTTTCTCGCTGGCTGTCAGCTGAGATCTGCTCTCAACTTCCAGAGGCTGCACGTACTCCTTGTCATGTGGCCCCTCCATCTTCAAGTCAGCATGATAAATCAAAGCCTTCTAGTGCTTTGAATCTCTCTGACTTCCCATTCTGCTATCAGCTGCAGAAAACACTCTGCTTTTAAAAGGCCTCATTTGATTAGATTAGATTACACCCACCAGATAATTTCCCTTTTGCCATATAATCAATAACTCCAGTGATAATTCATCCTATAATATAATCACTCCAGTGATAATTCATCCTATAACATAATCACTCCAGTGATAATTCATCCTATAGCATAATCACTGCAGTGATATCATATTTACAGTTTCCACCCACACTCAAAGGAGAGGAGATTATACAGGGACCAGGTCATCTAGGGTCATTTTTAGAATTCTGCCTGCCACACAGCATGACGAAGAAGCAGACATACCTGTGTTTGAGTCACATTTTTGCCTTTTGTTTTGTTGATTGGAAGAGGGAAGCTATATGTAAACTTCCTGAGCTTGAATTTTCTCTTCTTCAAAGTGGGGATTATAATATGCTTGCAGAATTTTTTTCAGGATTAGGCACTTGGCACACAGATGGAAGCTTTTAATTAGTAGTGTGTATGTGTATGTATGTATGTTTTAAGAGGCTTTGTGGTATTTTCAAAAAACTGGACTGTCATTTGGCTTCCTATTTAAGAAACATCTGGAAAGTTTGTTTACAATATAGGTTCCCAAGTCCCTCTCTAGACGTACTCTCTAGACGTACTGTTTACTGTCTGGAACCTTTATTTTTAAACAGATTCTCTAGGTGATTGTGTTGTGCAGCCAGGTTTGAGACCACTAGTGTAGTAGAAAGAATCAGAGAGACCTAGGACTGAATCTCACTCAGCTCTGCCCTTTAGTGCCTCCATGTCACTGGGCATACTTCTTAACCTCTATAAAGATAACATTATATAACTTGCAGGGTTGTGAGGCATAGCAATTATGTATGTACGGAGTTTGGCACGTAATACACATCCATTGAGTGATAAGTGCTATGGATGATGATGATGATGACAATGGTAGTGATAAATAATGCATCTATCATCCAGATTCCAAATGAGCTTAATGAGCTATTGTTGACCCCACCACAGATCTCTCCCCCTTCTCCATCCATCCCATCCTTTGTTCCAGCAACACTATGCTTCTTCGTGTTCCCTCACTGTGTTTCTTCATTCCTCATTGCTTCTGACATATATTATTTTTTAATGTCAGGAATGTTCTGTGCCTTTATCTGGTGAGCTCATCATTTAAGAGACTTTTCAAATGTTGCTTC